AGTAAATCAAGAAGTGCAAAACTGAATACTCTGAAATCTTGGAGACGTTTTAAAGTTATTGTAAGCATGGTAAATTGTTAATCAAAATATATCTCTTTATTCCCCCAAAAAATTTATGACGTTACCTCAAAGTTTTCCTCAATAAATTCAGAATGTGCAAAATATGAATTTTTACTTCTGATTTATCACTGCATTCATATTTTTTAGATTGGGTTATGCAGGTGTTTCAAAAAAATTAAGAATAAATCAATTTATTTTATTAATTAAATCAGAAACGGCAAACTCCATTTTCCCAGAATTTTCGAATACAATACCATTATTTTTAGTATTACACTGCACCAGTGATGATATACATGTCCTTGCAAAAATGATGATGACGTCATCACAAAATTGTGTAAAGAAAAGACTCAACACGAAAATGCTGGATATGTTTGAGTACAGTACTAAAGGAGCTAGGGAAGTTTCGACCAATTTTTTGCTCTGGTTTAGATCTCGATTTGATCAAAAATTTTATTTTTGAATTTTGCTTGTGAAGTCTGTTGTGTTGTTTGAAAAGCTTTTTTTTGGAAATTTTGTGTGGATATATAATTAGACATGGCGATCTGATTACAATATTTTTTCTTTTTTTATCGCTTTCGGTTTGACACACAAGGCCAACAACTTTTTTTTTTAATGGAACACCCAGATTTTTTGACATTTTCTAATGCAGAATAAAAAGCTAATTTCAGAAATTATCAACATGCTTATTTCTACCGATACAAAAAATAATATAAAATATAATTTAATAGAGTATTATGAAATATAATTAGATGTCTTATAAGGTATTAAGTTTATTTTAACTTATTGGTTGTTAATTAGGTATAGTAGTATATTTCGATTTGCAATTTTTTAGTTTATCAATGTAACATGGAATTTTACGTATTTCGAGTAAAACAGCTCAAAATCTTACATAATAATTAAAAAAAAAATTTTTGAATTCGAGTTTTTTTGCATTTCCTATGTAAATTTGCCATAATAATGTATATTTTTTTACACCGTCAGAAAGTAAGAGATTTCAACCAACAAAAAGCACCAAATTAGGGTGTTTTTTCGATATTAAATCAAAATAAGGGGAAAAAATAAATATTTTGAAACAAAAAAATTACAGTGAGTTTGGGACATAAATAGATAAGTTGTCACCAAATTTCGTGAAATTTTTTTGTGGGAGATTAAAGTAAAAAACCGAAAACTCAGTATTTTATGATGACCCTGTACATTTTATTTTGTACCTAATTTAACATAACATAACAGAGTATTAAGTTATTGTTTGGTTTGTAGGTCGGTATATATGTAATTGACTTTCGTGAAATTATTATTTTGTTTCAGTATTTAGCTGAAGGCATCTCTGACGACTTATTTTCGTAAATACAACTCTGAAATTTGCACAAATTATAAAAGCCACACAAACTACTCTGCATACTCTTGTAAATTGTTTTGAAGTTGACAATACCAATGAATAATTTTCAGATTTGTCTCACATGAACAACAATTTGATATACTTAGTTGTATTTTTAACAAGTTCTTTTGAATTACAATTCCTGACTTAAAAATAAGGTCACCAAGTATCGATGACGTCGTAGCATTGAGAGAAGCAAACAATAAATTTAAGCGAAAGAACCATTCATATCTGTCAGTTCTCGTAGTCAAACCAGGTACGTAAATACCTAATATTTCTTGTAAAGTTTTCACACAAAATTTTTAAAGGAATAATAAACTACCTATTTAAAAAGACGAAAATTAAAACCTTTGTTTTGTTTCCGCTAAATCAACACCAGCTGAAAATACTTCTCATTTCAGCCGATCGATCGAAACCTAAATCCCGGAATGAATTACTTTCGTTGCAATAATTTGAATTATTACGATCGCTATAGCTTATAAACGTGTTTCCGGTGGGAAACTACTGCGACCATATGAGAAATAGGCTCTGACAAAAACTTAAAACACATCAAAGAAAGAAAATTTATGAATGGCAGTAGTCTTTTTTAGAGACTTCATCAGCATGTGAGATTAGTGTAACGTAACGAAAATCGCTTTGGTACAATTATTCACAATTTCAACAACAAAGAGATGTAATATTATTTCAAGCAAAGGCTGTTCAAAAGGGAATCTAATACAAGCACTCAAAGCGTACTAGTATTATTTGTGGAATTCGCAATTAGTCGGGGTCAAAGGGTTACTAAATGAATTATTAACATCTTCTTGCAATCAGTTATAATTATTATTTGAATAAACAAGCGTACCTATTCCTTTAAAAGTTTAATAATTTAGAAATTCTTTCTTTGATGTTAGTTAGGGTGGGTAAATACATTAAATCACTTGGTTTTTCTGGTCAAGTTTATCAATATAAGTGCCTTCCAGAGCTCCTTATTGAATAAAAGGACGTTAAAACGAGGTATTAGAATAGTATGTTTAAAATGTAAGAAATACAAAGTTTCTTCCATTATTTAATCATATGGTGCCAAATTTATATCCTCAAAATAATTCCGAGTCAAAAAACGCATAAATCTTTTTAGCCACAGCATGTGTTTACATGTGACGTCATAGGTCATGATAGTCAGTGAACTTCGTTGATAACAGTAGTAAAAAAATTACTTATTGTAGTTTGCGAAGAGTTGCTATGTTTTTATTCGTAAAGGAAGTGTAACAAAAGGGAGACCAACAAAAATAAGCACAAACAGTTTTTATATTATTATATGTTATATGTATAACTTGAAACACATTGTAGTAGCTTTTCCTACTTCTTAATTCACATGACTAACTGCTCTTTAAAACATCCATCGTCAGTACCTATGTATAATCGTTGTATAAGTGATGTTTTATCAAACAGGCTTCATTAAATTAGGAGAAGTGTTTAAAATTAATATCAAAACCCAAATAAGTCAAAGTATCACTCAAGTAATGATTTTTTCGACACGAAGGAAATTCCACACGTGTTTCGTAAATTTTATTTCCATAAATGGTGTGAGCATACTAAATAAAAAATGTTCAGAGCCAAAATTTTACCGAAAAATAATTGAGTGCGATTTTTTTAACTAGGTAAAGTTAGAATAGTGTTTAAACACCTGCAGTGACCTACTAACCTGCTTCGATTGATTTCATAGTTCGACTTAGATCGCATAGAGGTGAGGCTGTACACTGCCAATTTCCTTGATGTTTAGCCAATTATGTAGAAACAACTACCGAAATTGCTCGCATATTAATAGAAAGCGTTACACCAATACAAGCATTAAAAATATTTTTTGCTGCTTTGTTGTAGACGCCTTAAAATAAAGGAAGTGGAAGTGGTGTCACTTTTTTCTGTTTTGAAATGTCGAGCGGGGCTTGGAAAATTTTAAACAGATGTGACTTCCAGGGTGGGCTTTGCAAGATGACCAAATTTAGGAAGCTCCACTTATTTTTGCATAAAAACTAAACAATCTAAAACAAGTTCGTTTGTACATAAAAATATTTTGCGTTGTAGAGGTGTGTCGTAAGTACGGCGATTAAAGTTCGTCTATTTTTTAAAGAGGTCAAGAGATTTGAAATAGCGAAGGGTCACAACGCCACATGTTGCTTACACCTCTAATTTATATTTACTAACCTGCGGCCAGTGCCATGTTTTTGATGCGCCAAAAATACATTAAAAATATTACGAAACAAAGCACTTTATGAATATTATAAAATGTTCCTGATACCAGAAGCTGGTATTACTTTCGCCTTAATTAAGGAAAATTAATTTTACGATAACACGGAAAATATAAATTTGTTACGAAAAACTCTCGTAAGCTGGTTCATATTTGTTATTCAGTGACATGTTTTATGTAGCGATATATTTTGACTTTCAGAGTGTAAGTTAGGGAAGTGCGCGCTTGACGCTTCGTTAATTTGATATTTTCTCCACATTTCGTAGCTCCTAGAATACGAAAATGTAGGTCTTCATTTTCCGTATTTACTCATGTCTTCCAAAATTTTGATGACGTCATCTAATATTTCGTTAAGTACATGTCGTCTGAAATTTATAACGTCACATGATTCTTCATTTGGGGTTAATAATAAATTTACATTTTTGTATTAACGTATATCATATGCACATACCATTTTTGATATATAGGACAATTACCCATAAATTTAAATGAGATGCTCAAATGAATCTCCGTTAACTGCCAAACAAAAATCTAATCCATAACATAACAAACATGGAAAATGCACAAAAATTGCAGACATTGATTGACTTGATCTTTGAATTATAGCAGCTTTTAATCCTTAAAACTTAAAAATTGTTCAAAATCAATCTGACAAGATTAGTTAATTTTTCACCCTTTTTAATAATCTACCTAAAAATGGACATTTTGTTTTTGTGAATAATGATTGAAGTAAGGGATTTTTTAGTGATTTTAGTGCGCCATTTGTGAATCACCCTGTATAAAGACTAAATAAAAACTTAATACTGGGTCAACAACAAATTTTAAGCAAGTGTAGGTGAAATAAATATAATAACAGCGACCCACTTTTTTAGTCTTTATTTTGCGATGAATAAGAAACAATCCAATTTCATGCTATATAAAGAAGTCAGCCCGACAATAGGACAAAACTTTCTGTACTTTTTTTTTCAACCCAAAGTTATTCGGAACATAGAAATGTATTCAAAATACCCTTAATCATGTGCAAATAGTGATGTTCGAACTATTTCACATTCCCAGAAAATTTGTTTCTGGAAAATAATAATCGCACCAAGCAGTTGTTCGTTTTTGCACCCTCTAACAGTGAAATAAGCAAAACTGCCCTGTGGCAACGCTTGCTCTCGACTCTAATAATTCACCGGCAAAGAAATAACTTCGAATATGCTGCTAGTAAATTGCAACACTATCAGGACGTTACAATGTTGCGGATAATTAGTTCTCTGCTGTTGCACTTAACTACCCCTATTAATGCCAAATTGCAATAAATCGTGTCCCGAATCAAAGTAGTTAATAGTCACTTACAGTTCCTCTGGAATTCGTCATTATTCCAACATGTGACAACATTGGCACAAAACCAGAACATGTAAACAAACACAATTTCGATTGATTTGCCAAAAAATGTTTTCGTCAGTCGCATAGTGCACTTGGCCTTATCGACAACGCAAAAATCCTAACCCATGCTTTGCGAGGAATCCGATTTTGTACGCACTCGAAATACCGTGAACGATGTCTGTGACATTCTACACGACACATGTGACTTAAACTAGCTCGCGCCGATGTGGATCTAAAACTAAACTTTAACCCTACTTACACACGCTATGCTTTTTAGAGAATTCACTCCTACTCTCTGGAATTATTTTTTTTGCGAGAAGTCATATTTATAGCGCGGATCTCCTTAGGATTTATCATTTTATTTGGAGGCAACGAATTTATCGCTTTGTATTTCGTTGTGCCGTTTGCAATGGGAATGTTTGTTTTAAGTAATCTCGGCAGATGCATTTTAATGCTAAATATGTAAACATCACTCCGCATATGTCTGGCTTCTGCGGTTAAATTGGCTGACTTGTTTATTTACAGATTATTAAATACTCATAGTATTACAGCGCTTCCCGGTTGAAAGCTGAGATTTCTTTTTTAAACAAAAAATATATTTTTGTCAACATACTGATGCTAGCCAAATTTCGTTAACGGTACAAGACGAAATTATAATGTGTTAAATGTTAGTTTTTCAATAAATTAAATTAATAGGGATGTAGAGAACAAAAAAAAAGTGCGCCCAACGTGGGGCTCGAACCCACGACCCTGAGATTAAGAGTCTCATGCTCTACCGACTGAGCTAGCCGGGCTTGTGTTAGTCGTTGGGTAAATGTCTAAGTTCATTCGGCCTCTGTAATGTACAGAATTAATTATTACAAATTTTATATTTACGTTTAAGAATGATCTATAATATGCTACCTCACAAACTTTTCCACTACTATATTTCTTATTGTCGATTCCTACGTAGACAGATCGGCAATTAATGCATCCTTACAGAGGAAATAAAAATAACTATACCGGCTAAATTGTATTAAAAAATTCAGTAACACAACAAGTGCCTTTAAGCTTTAAAGTGCCAAGTTATGAGCTTCTTAAGTCAAAGCTGATACGGTTTTGAAATATCAACTTAGCGCTCCGTTAAAGCTCATATCCCGCACGAGTGTGCATGCGTAAATCACACCATTTGTCGGTGACAAAAGTATCGAATGGCAAGGTATATATCACAAATTATCTGTTATTTAATTTTAAAATTATTATCATGTGTATAAAAAAAATCTGGTCATACGTGGATTAAAACATTAAGAAGGTTACACAAATTGCGGGTGTAGGAGTTCGAAACACTTTCGGCGTAATAAAAATAAGGGTGTAATTTTCATGTTTTAACATTTATTACAAGAGGTGTTTAATAATTATGTTTGCCTATAACATGAATTTATTTAGTTATAATCGGTACACTTTTTGTTCATCCTGATATTACATAAATGACAAGAATCGTACCACCATATTTTGCACTAGCTGACCCCGTAAACTTCGTTTCACCTACAATTTAATTTTCAATCTGCAAAACCCAATGCTTTGAAATCTTGCAAATGTTTTAAACATACGATAAGCATAATAATTTTTTATTCAAAATATATTTACGTATCCCCTCCAAAAAATTGATGACGTCAGCCCAAAATTTTGCCAAATGAATCCTATCTAAAACGTACAAAATAAGATAAGACTATACTTATGATTTATCATTCCATTCATATTTTTTAGTTTTGCTTATAGGGTGTATCTCAAAAAAATTAATCACTGAGTCAATTTATTTTATTGATTGAATCAAGAATTGCAAAACTGAATTTTGAAATATTGCAGACGTTTTAAAGTTACTGTTTGACATGGTAGCTTTTTAATCAAAATATATCTGTTTATCAAGCCCAAAAACTTGATCACGTCATCTCAAAATTTTGCCGAATAAATCCTATCTAAGATGTGCAACATATCATCAGAATGTATTCGTAATTTATCATTGCATTCATATTTTTTAGATCTGCTTTTACAGTGACTCAAACAAATGTATGGATCAGTCAATTTATTTTATTAAATAACTCAAGAGTTGCAGAAATGCATACTTTGAGATCTTGCAGACGTTTTAAAGTTAATAATAATAATAATATATATTTCGCCTCATATTGTACAGAACAGGAGGACATGTCAATTAATTACAATAATGTACATACTTAATTATTCAATATAAAATGTAACCAAAAAGGAGGAGCCAACTATAGTAAACCGAACCGTAACAGAGCATACATTTTAAAATCACACACAATTTTTACAAACATTAATAATGTATATATCAACAATTTTTCTTAGACATTAATTGTTGCCAGCTTAGTTACTAAAAATTCATCAACCGTGTAGTTGCCCTCTAATATATTCCGGACGGTTGACTTGAATAGAGGAAGAGGCTTTTCTTTCACCTTTTTAGGGAGAGCGTTAAACAGAATAGCACTAGTGTATTGCGCTGACTGTTGTGCTTTTTTAATACGGTGATATGGGATTACGAAATTATCTTTATTTCTAGTGTCATAACTATGATAATTAAGATTCTTTTTAAATTTGGTCTCATTAATTTTTGCGAAAACAACAGACTCTAAGATAAATAAACATGCCAGGGGTAGTAACTTCAGTTTCTTAAACAACTCGCGGCATGATTGAAATTTAGATTTCTTTAGCAAGACTCGAACAGCTTTCTTTTGAATCAAAAAAATTCTGACTGCACTCGTAGAGTTTCCCTATACGAGAATGGAGTAACGCAAGAGACTCTCGAAGTTACCTCTGTAGAAAACTAAAGCAGTTTCGAGATCACAGTAGTCTAAAAGTTTCCGTATTTGATACACAACTGAAGATAGTCTGCCTGCTAAATAATCTATATGTCCAGTCCATAGGAGACGATTATCAATTACTACTCCAAGAGACTTTATTTTGTTAAGTTCGCCAATTAAATTGCCTATTTTCAATGAGAAAGTTAATGATGTCGTCTTTTCTGCATTCATAACTAACATATTGTCGTCAAACCACTGTTTTGCTGAGCACATACTGTTTTTTTGCATAAGTTTTAGGTTATCCATATCACTTGCGCAGTTTACAAAGTGGTATCATCGGCAAATAATATATGACTTTGCGCTGTAAAAGGCAAATCGTTTATAAACATTATAAAAAACAAGGGCCCTAAGACAGACCCCTGCGGTACACCACACTCTATTTTAGCCAACTGTGATTTCTCCCTTTTTTCCTCTACACACTGATATCGGCTTGTGAAGTAGGATTTAATTAAGTCATGAGGCAACCCCCGAATGCAGTAGAACTCCATTTTTTTTAATACCAACTGATGATCTATGCTATCAAAAGCCTTGCTAAGATCTAGAAAAGAAGCACATGCTAATTTCTTTTCGTCCAGTGCAGTTAAAATTTCGCTTTCCAATTTTAACAATGCCATTGTTGTTGAACGCCCTTTTCTGAAGCCAAATTGGCTGTCTACAAGTAAGTTGTGGTTGTCAAAAAATGATGCAAGTCGCCTATAAAGCAGTATTTCAAAAATTTTAGAAAGCGCCGGCAATACAGAAACTGGACGATAGTTTAGACAGTTATTAATGTCACCCTTTTTATATATAGATCTTATTTTTGCAATTTTTAGTTCATCAGGGAAAGTTGCTTCTTCTATACACTTGTTAAATAGGTGAGCCAGAATTGGACTGTGCCAGTCCTTTATATATTTCACCGTGTTTGTAGTTAGATCGTAAATATCTCTAGCATCACTCGCCTTTAAGCCGCTAATTATACTGGAAATCTCCACAGGATCAGTATATTCCAGACCAAATTACTTCCCTGGCGACGTCATTTTACATAGATAATTATATATTGAATTATGTGGAACAAGATTATTAACTAATTGTTTTACTACGTTTGAAAAGTGGTCATTAAGATTATCCGCGGTCAAGTTATTATTTTGCGATTTATACTTACTTTGACCTAATTCCGAACGAATGAGGTCCCAAACTGTTCTACTTTTATTTTTTGAGCTTTCAATTTGTTTCTTATTGTATTCTTTTTTTGCTAACACAAGACGTTCTCTGTAGATTTCCCGTATTTGTTGATACGCCCGATTTGCCCCTTCAGCTGCTCTTGGAGACTTCCTCATTATATCAATGGCTTTTAGAGTTTCTCTCATGTTTCTTAGTTCGTCGTTATACCACTTTGACTGAGACTTTTGAGTATGTAATTTAAGAGTCACTATAGGAAAGCAATGATAATACAGATCTAAAAAGCTACTGAAAAAACTACTGAAAGCAGTTTGAGCAGATTTAGATGAATATATAAAGGACCAGTCAGTACTATGTAAGTTTTCACAGAAATTTTCTAATTTTGTAATATTTATGGGACGATATATCCGCTCCGTTGTAACCACGCTGTTCGTTGAGAGTTCACATTTCATTTTTAAGACTATGGCAGAATGATCGGATAGCGTAGGATCTGTTACTCTACAGTCCACTAGCGAATCGGGTAAATTTATAAATATAACAGGCAATTTCTAATATTATACATCCGGACAAAAATAAAAATTAATTTAGAAAAGACAGAAGTCAAATATAACAAAAAGAAAAAAAATATTCATCTATAAAAATAATTACTTACATACTGTAAGGGGAAAAAAATACCGTAACAAAATTTCGCAAAAATAGTTTAGGATACATCATTCTACAATGAAAGCAAATACCGTCTAAGGGTTTTGGAACTACAGTGAAACAGGTCTAAATCTTCGGATACAGTGTTGATATACCTAGCACTACGGACAAATGGAGAATTATAACCGTAGTGTGTACGATGAACACGGATGGCTACAGTTTCATGTACTCGAGTTTTGTAGGAAGGAACTCTCAAGGTAATAGTATATTAAAGAACGAGTTTCATAAGGCAAATATTGAGGCACGAATCCAAGTTTATAGAACGAGCGGCGAAGCCGCGAGTTATATAAAGGATGAGTGCCTCAATGGCCTTATGAACGAGTTATTTATACTATTTTTTCTACCGCACACGTTTTTTCCCAAAATTTAATTGAAATTAGCATTTTTTTTAATCTGGGGACTTTTGTCGTGGTTGGTGATGGGTCGGTCTGACACTAACCACGAAATATTTAAGGTTCGAATTTTCACAACAACAATTGTAATTCGAACCAATTCGAGTTTT